CTAACCTGCCCCTGCCAGTCCCCTACCCCCACCTTGGCCCTCTGCGCGTGCGCCCCACCCTGCTCCTCCTCCGCCCAGTCCGGCTGCCCGGGTTTGGTTTTCAGCTCAGCCACCAGGACTAGCTGCGGCCCAGGCGGCGGCACCAAGCCTCCCTGCCCGCGAAGTGACAGTTTACAAAATTATTTTCTGCAAAAAAGAAAAAAAAAAAGAGTTACATTAAAAAAAAAAGTTTAAAAAACAAAACCAAAAAAACTACATATTTTATTATAGAAAAAAAGTATTTTTTTTCTCCACCAGTCTTAAATGGAAAAAGAGGAAAAATCAACTATTTGCACCGAAATGTTTTTTTGTTGTGACATAGGAAAATAACCAAGCACAAAGTTATATTCCATTCTTTTTACTGATTTTTTTTCCTTCTACCTGTACCGTCTGCTGTATTTGGTTTCTCTAATCTCATGTCCACCTGGGGGGTGGGAGTAGGTGGGTGCTCTTGTCAAAGGCACAGTGGTGCATGTGTGTTGGCTAGCTCACTTGTCCATGAGAATATTTTATGATATTAAAGAAAAATCTTTTGAAATGGCTGCTTTTCAAAGAAGATAATTCCTGGCTTCTCATTTTTAAGTCTCCTCAAACGTGTGGCTGGCCTGTTTTATGAATGCAGACTTTAAAAAAAAATATATTTTGAACATTGCCTATTAAAGATAGGGCAAACCTGGAGATGATGATGTTGCTTGGCACAGACTGTATTAAAACAACACTCCCATGATACCACTTTGTTTGCTCCTTTTGCTGACTTCCAAAAGTGAGGGTGGGGTGTGTCAAGAATGGTAAAGGATACCTGTACCCACCCATCTCTAGATTTTGAGCTTGGTATGCTCAGTCTTACTTATTTTGAAAAAGGAAACATGGCCTCCTCAATGTACTAGAAGTTAAAAGGCCATGAATGCATGAGGGTGAACCCTGATGGTGAACTCCAGCGTTCTTTGTTCTCTGTAGCATCTGTGACTAATGTATGCCCCCCCCAACCATTTTGTTTTTGCTATAGAGGACAGCTTGAATTGTGTCAGGGTTGTATTCCCCTCTCCTACTGGGGCTGTAGCTTGGTGACAGGGTATATGGTGAGCATATGGTAGGCTCTGAATTTAATCCCTAGGACCCCAAAAATGTACCACAGAAAGCAGCTGTTGAGCATCACAGGGAGCTCATTGAAAATGTAGACTCTCAGTGGAGGTGTGCATGATGGCGCTCGCACACACACCTGTATCTAAGGATGTATGATGATAAACTCCAGCTTATTGCCTAAGAATAAATGGGGAGTCTGTTGTTAGAAGCCCTACCCCCTCTCTTCTTACCTATCTCTTCCCTGAGACTTCTACTCAAAGTACAGAGCAGTGAAAATGATCATGGCTAAGATAATTTAGCAAGTAAAGTTATGTAGATATGTTTGGGAGTTGGGCCTGGAGTAGGTTCTAAAATCCGTGAGCCAGCGCTCTGCCATTCCTTCATCTGTTAAGTAATGCTGTTATATAAATGTGGTGTGAATTCAGAGTGGAGAAGACTAGTATGTATGCATGTTGGCAGTGGTCGATCTAATTTTCGTTTTAAGGAGTCCATTGAGTTGGAAGAATCACTTAAAAGTAAGCCAGTGGGGGCACTGAGCTGGCTCAATGGGTAGAGGCTCCTGCTGCCAACCCTGAAGACCTGAGTTTGATCCCTGGACCCACATGGTGGAGAGAACCAACTCTCAAAACTTGTTCTCTTGACACGAGGATGTGGGTCCATGTAAGTAAGTAAATAAATGTAAGTTTTGTTTTATTTTAAATAGGACAGTCCTTCACATGGTGTGTCCCCTCAGTTAAGGGGACTAAAGCCAAGCCCAAACTTCCTGGGCTGAGCTAGAGAGGTCTATTGTAGGGACTGGGTAAGGGAGCATTCTGGCACACTCAGTCTGGGTTTGCCACTGGATGGTAGCAAGCTCAGTAGATACTCAGTATGAGTGTATCATTTGTGTAGAGAAAGCCATAGAAGTAGACTGGAGAGCAGACATACTTGTTCTTAGCTATTTATATGCAAATTAGATGAAGATAGTTTAAATGGTCAGGGGAAGAAACCCTTCCAACTGAAAGTTTTCTGGACCAAGGCTATATGTATTTTGATATTCCAGTTTCCAAGGTGTGGTTAATCTCTGTCCTGAGCAGTGCTTAAAAATTTTTTTTTGAGCATTTGTTTACTGGGGGCTAGGGGTCATACCTGTATGAGAAGGTCTGGCTCTTTCCTTCCACCACGTGTGTTCAGGGATCAAACTCAGATTACCAAGCTTGGTGACAAGCCCCTTATCAGTGCTTATTGTTAAAAGTCACATAAGTTATCTGAACAAAAGTGTGCCCAAGAAGTTACACCATAAATTACTTTTTAGTCTGTTGGGGATAAAAATTCTAAACCTAGGTTTTCTTTCAATGCTGAGCATGTATCCCAGGCCCTGTGTGCCTCAGGCAAGCACCCCACCCACTGAGTTAATTTCTCCAGCCCTTAAAACAGGGCCTTTGAGGTCATCATATACATCCTGAGCTGTTTTAATCATTTGTTCGTTTTAACAGATTTAGTTCGTCCCCCAAAACAGTCTCATTGGCAAACTTCATTAAACTTCTTTGAACATTTTAAACCATACTTAAAATTTTTAATGGTTCTCCCTCCCCAAGATATTGAACTCCAGACTCTGACGTATTCAAGTTAAGCAGTGATGTCTTGCTCTGCACAAAAAAACCAAAATTGTTAAAAATGCAGTGAATCAATTCCCATGAGCAATTGGATGCTGTTTTACTAACTGATTCCCTTACACTTCCAAAATTAAAGTCACACACACGTAACTTAGTTACATACTTTAGACTGAAACCACAAAGCTGATGCTATTTCCTTTTACCTGTCCATGCACTTTAACCCAGTTTGTTGTGGTTGGGACAAAAGAAGAACCACTGAAGCTTCAGTTGCTGCACCTGTTTGCTTTTTTTTCTTTTCTTTTCTTTTTTTTTTTAAGATTCAAAGTCCTGTACACTTGTTTCCCATTTTGAGTTTGCTATCAATCATATGACTTTGGACTTTGTAAACTGGCACATGATAACCCTCTTCAGTGCTATTGCATTCAAGGTCATCCAAGGTGAACTCCCATCTCTTAATAGATTCTGTCTACTCTGGTACCAGGTGGTCCAGCCCAGGCCTTTCATCTGACCTGCACCACTTGTCCATGGGCATCTTTTGTATGTTATCCTTGCCCATTTTTGTTCACTATACCAGCTTACTCTAAATGCCTGGTGGATGGAATTCCCTACGGGGACCCAGCTGGCAGCTAGTTCTCTATCCGTGGGAAGCACTCATAGCATCTCTCTCCTGCCTGTATGGATGGCACATTTTAACTTGACATCTTTATCCATCTTAGACCCTGCATCTCTGGACTGTTGACAGCCTCATGAAGCCAATCTGTGAAAATGGCACCTCTCTGACTCCCCATCCCCACACTTATCAAACCCTAATGATTGAGCACCCAGCCTGACTCAGTGCTGCCTCCGTTGCTAGGTGGTCTCTAAGCTTTGCTCTGTACACAAACTTAACTCCCAAAGAATGCAGTCACTTGGCTAGTAAATACGAAGTGTGTTAGCCAGCTTTCTATTATTGGGATGAAATACACAGTCGTCACTTCAGAAGAGAGATGTTTGACTCATGTTTTCAGGACTTTCAGGCCATACTCTCTTGGTCTTGTGGCCTCTGGGCCTGTAGCTTAGCAGCACATCATGGTGCAGAACAATAAGGAGGTCTCTGCTCCGTGTAGCCAGGGAGCAGACACTTCCTTCTTCAAGGCCCCACTTCCTAATGGTCCAGTCATTCCTTACAGTGTCTGTCCCAGGCTGTAACAGGACTGTCAATACATGGCCTTTGGGGGGCATTTATAGTCTAAACCACAGCACCAGGATGGAGAGTGACAGCCCTTTCTGGCAACTTTCTAATCATGCTGTCTTAATTAGAAGTCCCCTTGAGTTCTACTTTTCCAGCATGAGAAGTTTCCCAACTAATACATGGGGAGCTGACTTCTGAAAGTAATTTTGAAAAGTGGAGCACAGCCAGGCGTTGGTGGCGCACGCCTTTAATCCCAGCACTCGGGAGGCAGAGGCAGGCGAATCTCTGTGAGTTTGAGACCAGCCTGGTCTACAAGAGCTAGTTCCAGGACAGCCTCCAAAGCCACAGAGAAACCCTGTCTCAACCCCCCCCCCCCCAAAAAAAAAAAAGATGTTTTGTGATAGATGTGGTAGCACACACTTGTAATTCCACTACTCAGGAGGCAGAAGAAAGAAGATTGCCAGTTTGAGGCCAGCCTGGGCTAATAATAGCAAGAGATCATTTCAAAAGCCCAATTCCTAACCCATTCCCCCCAGACTTGGGAAGACTCAAAAGTGGAATATATATATAGGACTTAGGTAGAAAGCCAGTAAGGTGGCACATACTGGTTGTCCCAAGTACTCAGAGACTGACTTGTGAGGATCATGAGTTCAAGACAGATGACAAATGACACTGGCAGAGCCCCAGCTCAGGAAACAGGTAGGCACAGAGAAACCCCCAGGCTAAGCTTAACTCTCTGAAGAGGCTGCAGTGTCATTAGTTTTTACCTGAGAAGAAAGGTGTTATTTTATTATTATTTAATTGGTGTTCTGCCTGTGTGTATGTCTGTGTGAGGGTGTTGGATCCTGGAGTTACAGTTGTGAGCTACCATGTGGGTACTGGGAATTGAACCCCTTGTCCTCTGGATGAGTAGTCAGTGTTCTTAACCACTAAGCTGTCTCTCCAGCCCCTAGGAAGGAAGGAAGGAAGGAAGGAAGGAAGGAAGGAAGGAAGGAAGGAAGGAAGGAAAGAAGGAAGAGTAGAAAGATGTCTCAG